ATCTCTTAACTTTTCCAGAGTTTAAGAATTGTTTATTTATTTATTTTTGCCGTTTATATGTGCTAGGTCTGTTGTTCATTGATGGCTTATGCTGAAATATATTTGAAATGCTGAGTCAATGTGAACTATGAGGTCTGCTTACATTTGCTTTTTACTGTGGTAGAAACAATTTGTAATTGAATACACAAAATGCAAGTGTATTTTCACCTATTTTATAGCCACATGGAAACTATATATCCTTTCACTTGCATATAGACAAAAATTCACGCAAAGCTTGGTAGTTGTGGAACCTGTAAATTTGCACAAAATGCAAAATATAAGGGTCTCTAAACAGTGTCCACTTTCCTTCATTTAGATGTGTGTGTTTTAGATTTGAAGTCTACTTTTTTTTGTTTTTGTTTTTGTTTTTTTGGCTTAGTGCTAATCACTGTTGTAGCTCAGCTTCTTGAATACTAAGATTACAGACCTGGGTGCTCTGCCTCAATCACTTCTTACTTTAATTTTTAAATTTTTTACTCTGAAGGCTCACTGTAAACCTTTAAAGTCAGTCAACATCATAAGTGAAGAGAGAGTTATAATTGTGAAGATCTAAGTAGAAATTCTGTGACACTGATAAGGAGATTAAAACCACCACCTCTGTCCTCAGAATGTTTGCTCTTTCTTAATGTTCGCCAGAATTGGGAAGCTTAATGCTCAGCTAGTACTTCAGGGGAAATTGTAATTGTTTGCTGTTTGCTATTTTGTAAAAGAATGCTCTGAAGGTCAGAGAGCTTAATTGAATTGGCCAAAGATGTAGCTAATTACAGTGCCAAGACCAAGTCCCCACAATCAGTCAGCTGAAATCCACATTTTCTTACTTTGATTTTCTTTTTAATAGGAAATCCAGGGTAGTATTATTTATCTAAATAAGTCTAAGTTCTAAATTTATTGCCGTTTCTTATTTTTCTTTGAGTAGGCCTTACATAGTTTAGGGTGGCCTCACACTATTTAGTTAGCCTTGCCTTGGATTCCTCATTCTCCTGCCTCCACTTCCCACTTGCTGGGATTATGTTCCACCATACCTGGCTCCTGAATTTCTGAACCTTGGGATTTTTTTCCCCTCAAGTTTGTTATTTGTCTTTGGAGAGAAGGAATGAAAATCTTTTCTGGTATAACCTAACATAGAGGTTATTACTGATACAGAATATACTGAAATTGAAACCAAAAATTAAAAAAGTGAATATCAGCCTATGTCTTTAAGTTTGAGGATTTTCAGTTATCCTCCCCACCCTAGTTTTTCACATAACAAGGAATTTGAGTGTCTTTCCTTAGAAGATTGCTTTCCATTCTTTGAAAGTTAAGCTTGAAACTTACTGAAACGTCAGTGGTAGGTTCTATCTTGTGGATTCTAGATAGTCTTGCTATAAAATCATCCACTTGGAGGGCTGTTTATAATTTTTTTCTTTTCTTCACAAGGAAGGGGAATGAATCTTGATTGCTGTGTTTTTACTGAAGTCAGTGTTGAGAATTTTTACTGGCATTATGGTGTGTCCTGTGCATGCACATGTGTGTTTGTGTGTGACACTTAATTTGGGTAGTGGAACTGACATCTGAGGAAAGTGAATTTTCTTATCCCACAGGATAAGTTTGTGATGATCCTGTACCATATATCACTCTAGACTCAGAAAACATGGGCAGTAAGCAAATATGTGTTTGCTGAAGGAGTATCAGGGATCAGATATAATTTTGGTTTGTTCCAGTCAGTGTGTATTTACTTATTCCACCACTTTGGTGAATGTAGAAGGCTAAGTTTTTGACCTTGAGTATGTAATCTAGTTCAGGTGGATTATAGGAAGAATCAGAATAAATCATGGGTGATAATGATGAAATTGTTTGAGGACATAAAGATAAACATCAGTTAGCTCAAGAATATTAAAATCCTTGAGGCAGGGAGAGGCTTAAAAATAAAGTCATTACTGGAGGGCTGAACAGTGGCTCAGTAGTTAAGAGCACTCAGTGTTCTTGCAGAATACCTTATTTTAGTTCCCTGCACCACATGATGACTCACAGCTATTCACAGGTATGCACAAGGTAAACATATATTCAGGCATGCACAAGGTATATTTATATATATTCAGGCAAAGAACTCATACACATAAAATAAAAGCAATTTTTTAAAAAAAATGTCATTGTAACTGTAGCATAGATACTGGAGGTAGGTCAAGGATGGGAACTGGAGAGAAAACCTGGGTTATGTGGAGTCATACCCATGATAAAGATTCAGATTTTTCTCTTCTTTTTAAAGGTAAACTGTGATGGCTATTCTTGGTTGTGATCTTGACTACATCTGGAATTAACTTAAATTCAAATGGCTAGGCACACCTGTGAGGGATTTTTTCACTCCCTCCCTCCACCTCCCTTTCTCCCTTCCTTTTGGGTTTTTCAACAGGGTTCCTCTGTTTAGCCCTGGCTGTCCTGGAACTAGTTCTGTAGACCAGGTTGGCCTCAAATTCACAGAGATTTGCCTGCCTCTCTGAGTGCTGGGATTAAAGGTGAGTGCTACCACACCTGGTGAAGAAATTTTTTCTTAATTATATCATTTGAAGTGGGAAGACCTACTTCTAATCCAGATCTTTGAGGTGGGATGATACACCTTTAATCTGGACCTTAAATCTGCCACACTTTCTGCTAGCAACCTATAGCTTCATGGAAGAAGGAAGCTCTCTCTTCCTGCTTGCTCTTGCTCTCAATGTAAGCCCATTCCTTTACTGGCATTAGGGCCTACTTCTTTGGGATTTCAGTATTTATTGAAGACCAGCTGAGACATTCAGTCTTGGACCTTCCATTAATAGGCAACCATTATTGGATTAGCTGAACCACAGCCTGTATAACCCATTATAATAAATTCCATATATAATATAATATAATATAATATAATATAATATAATATAATATAATATAATATAATATATTATAATATGATAAATTCCATGTACATTTAATTTTCTTCTTTTTCTCTCTCTTCATTCTATAAATTCTATTCCCCTAGAGAACCTTGACTAATACAGAAGCCTTTAGAGAGACTTAAGCTGGTGGATGTGTTCAGTTCTAAAACATGTTTTAGAGGTTGAGTTGTCATGACTTAGTAGATTTAATGGGGAGAGGATGGACATAGGGATGAGAAATGATTGTAGATACTTGGCTTACATAACTGAATAAATGTCATTAATTGTAGTGGTGTGTGTGTGTATTGGGGGTGCTGGAAGGAACTGGTTTGGGAATGGAGATGGGTCAATAAATATTCTTTTTTCTTCACTATATTTGGATGGCTTTTAACAATCCCGTTGGAGTAGTGTAGTAGTATCAGGAAATTTGTGTTTAGAGTTCAGGGCAGTGCTCTGCTTTGTAGGTTGTACATTAGGAAGTCAGTACTATATGAGTGGTATTTTTGAGCCATTAGATTACTTGGTGAGGGAGCATAGAGAAATAGAGTTAGGAGGCTCTAGAAGGGAGATTGAAAAGGTGTGTCAGTGAAAAGGTAAATCCATGTTAGTGTGGTTACCGTTTACATCTCCAGAAGAGAGTGCTTAATGAAGGAGTGAGTGCTGAACCTCAACAGAGGCTGCTATTAGGAGTAAAATGAATGCTTGATCTAGTGGGAGGTGAAGAAGTGGAAAGGTGTCTTGTTAGGATGGAGAGCAGATAAACTAGATGGTAGCTGGGATGGGATGTGTAGTTCAGGGCAAGTTTTTCAGTGACCTTTATACAGAAATGAGAATAATCTGGTGGAGAGGGAAAAATACATATGATGTAGAAGTTGGTTTCTGTTCCGTTCTGTTCCTGTTCTTCTTCCTGTTCTTCCCTGTCTTTCCCTTCTTCCCCTTCCCCTTTCCTTCTTTTCTTTCCTTTCCCTTTCCTGTTCCTTTTCTCTTTCCCTTTCTTTTTCTTTTCAAGACAGGGTTTCTCTGTGTAGCCTTGGCAGTCCTGGAACTTGCTCTGTAGGGTAGGCTGTCCTAGAACTAGCATACTTAACTGTAAATAAGCTCTGTGTGTGGAGAGCAGAAAAAGAGGAGGTACAGAGGTAAGCAGGTTGGCTGGTTTTTGTGAGGGAAGAGGAAACAGTTAAGTGTATGCCCCTCCCTTTTTCTGAGAAGTGTATAGTTAGAACAGTAGCTGAGTGGGAAGAGTGAACACTGAGGCAGGAGAAAGTCAGGCTCCCACACTATGAGATTTTGGAGACTACAAAGTGATTTTTTTTTTTTTTTGAGGTGTTAATCGTTACTCGGTTTGAACATTCCTAATTTAAAAATCTCAAGTATGAAATGCTTGTAAGAAACACATGACAGCTGTCATAAGTGGAAAATGCTAGGCTGGCCTCATGTGTGTGTCCTGTTGTAGTCAAAACACTAATTCACTAAGACATTGCATAGATTTACCTTCAGGCTATAAACTATATATGGAAACATAATGAATTGTCTGCTCAGATTTGAGTTTTATATACCGGATAACTTGTACAAATATTCCCCCAACTCCTCCAATCAGAAATATTTCTGTTTTCAAGCATTTTGGACAAGGGATATCCCATCTCTAGTAGGATTTTGTAGTGCTGTTGAATGACTCTTAGGTTGTAGCTGTGTAGTTATACTGAATCCAGCTAGCCTGACTGTGATTTTTCAGTAATCTTCAGCTTCTTGGATGGAGTCATGGGGTAACTGAATAGTTGAATTTACTGAAATTGAGTTTTTCTAGATGAGCTAAATGGAGAAAGGGATAGGAGCTGTAATTCAAGTCTTTTACTTTGTGATAACAGTCCTATGGTGTATCAAATTTTTTAAAATGAACTAGAAAGTAACTTTTTTGATTTTCCTAAAACAAAACCAGGACTCATTTACCATGAGGACAATATGGATGCAGTTGGTAGTTTATGTATCCTGCCTACCTAGTTTCTATAGAAGTTTCTTCTGGGTTTGTAATTCTCTTCTCAGAAGTGCTGTAATCGTCATGCCATTTTCTCTTTAAAGGTCTGTCTATGATGGTGAGGAACACGGACGATTCATGGAGAAGCTAGAAACTCGCATCCGCAATCATGACCGAGAAATTGAGAAAATGTGCAACTTTCACTACCAGGGCTTTGTGGACTCTATTACTGAACTGCTGAAAGTACGAGGGGAAGCCCAGAAACTCAAAGTAAGGAGCCGCTGCCGGACATTCGCTCCTCTGTCCTCTTTTGGGGTTCTGAGTAGTTCTGATTGAAAGAGTAGGGCCCATACTGTGTGACATGTTGTAGGACAGGCTTGCTTTATTTCCATGGGGTAGATATTGTTTGCTCCCTCTTTTCAAATGTAGAATTGAGGTGAAGGTACATGGACAGCCTGACCAAAACCACAAAATTGGTATGAAGTGATCATACTAAAGTACGTGTACAGTTTAGATATGATCACATTATTTTCCTGGTTTAAAAACCTGCGTAGCTCCCTTTGGTTAGGTTTGAGAGAACACAGTCAGCATCCTTAGTATAGAACTTCAGGTTCCATCCATCTGGCTATGTCATTTCTTCACTCTCATCTCTTGACTTCTCCTAAGATGATGATGATGATGATGATGATGATGATGATGATGATGATGATTTGAGATAGATTCTTCCTATGTATCCTGCCTGACCTCAAACTTTATGATTCTCCTTTCTCAGCTTACCAAGTGCTGAGATTACAGATGTGTCTCATTGTATCTTTGTATAGTAAGGATTTGTATGAAATAAGGAAAGGAATTTATATCCAAACCCACATAAATAAGATTATGGCTTTTTGGATGTAAAGAGTACTCTTTTAAGTTAGTTTAATTGGAATACCTACCAGTGGATTGGAACAAGTGAGTAGTGACTGCTTCTTTCAAGAGATTGCTGTTAAAGTCACCAGCGTCTTTGCTGATGGAAGCCGCTCTCCTCAAGTTAAAGCACTGCTATACTTACTTGAAAGGCCAAGGTGGGAAGACCTGGTGGCTGTGGAGTGCTGCTGCCCACAGGGTGAAGATTCATGTTCAGGAAGGAGATTGGTCTCAGGCGATCCCTTCTCTTAGACAGGTGACCTTGCTTGTTGATCTGAAGACTATTCTAAATTTCTGTTATATTAGACAGCTTAGATTTTTGGCATTTTCTGTGAAAACTCATCTGTCAGTAATAATAGTTTTATTTTCTTCTCTCTAGTCTTTATGCTTTTATTTTTCTTGTTGGAATCTGAATTAGAATCCTTAATAGGATTTTTTTCTGCATGGGGTTAACTTGACAATGAATATAAAATTCAACTCAAAGAATATATTGCTAAAAATAAAAGCAAAGAAACAATTTTTAATAATTTTCTTCCAGCCATTTAATATTTTTCCATTTATTTATTTATTTAAAAAAGTTTTTTTTCATTTTACATACAAATCCCAGTTTCCCCTTCTTCCCATTCTCCTGCCCCCCACACATGCCCCCAATCCCACCCCCCACTGCTCCTCAGAGAGGGTAAGGCCTCCCTGGGGAGTCAACAAAGTTTGGCAGGATCAAGCACCTCTCCCCTGTGTCAAGGCTGAACAAGGTATTCTGCCCAAAAAGCCATTTTATGCACCTGGGATGAATCCTGGTCCCACTACCAGGGCCTCCCCAAACAGATCTAGCCACATAACTGTTGCCCACATTCAGAGGGCCTAGTTTGGTCCCATGCATGTTCCCCAGCTGACAGGCCAGAGCCGTAAGCTCCCATCAATTTGGGTCAGCTATCTCTGTGGTTCCCCCCCACCCCTCCTCATGATCTTGACCTCACTTGCTCCTGTAATCCCTCCTCCCTCACTTCAACTGAAGTCAAAGAAACAATTTTATTGAAAGGCTAAGCAAGCTATTAGAAAATATAGTCTAAAACTGCAGTAGTTTAAAAAAATTATGTAAATGCAAAACATGACTGAAATGGATATGAAACCATTAAACTTTGCAACTTACTTAATGTAAATTTTTGTGTTTAACTACAGAAATATCAATGTGTTTGAATATAGGTGCTATACTGTTTCCAGCTGTGGGACATTATATAACATACACAGAATGCAATATGTTATATAAAATATCATTACTTATATAAAAGTTTCCAACATTTGAAATCTCAAATACATTGGATCCTAAGATTTGTATGATAGAATTCATCTATTTGAGAAACAGGATATTGCCAACATATTAAATAATTCTCTCTTCTCTATGCTTCGTAGATGCTTCCCCCATTTTAGATGTAACAAGTCTTTTGATAATGTGCTGTTTGTCCTCATTCAGCCCTCATAGTTCCTATCACAATCTTGATTATTCTTTTCTGTGTTTTTTAATTCTTATGTATTGCAAACTTCTCTCACAGATACTTAGGATCCTATTCCATAGTGGGCCAAAGGGTATAAAAGATGTGGAATATGATTTAGACCAGATAGTATGGAATACTGCCTGGAATCTTACCAGATGCTGACTTTTATTGGTGATTGATACTCACTTTTGTCCTGTTTTCTCTCCTATTGATTCAAATTGCAAATTCCTTGAGATTGGTCAGAATGCCTGTGAAGGAAAACTTGACTGTGTTTTTTGAGTTTGGTATGTTTGGTTGCTTCAGACTCTAACCAGTTACTCTGAAGGTTGGGAATAATGTTGAGCTACACACCTGGTAAGCTCTATTTTAGGGCACCCGTTTGACCTAGGTGAAGAATGTTGAGATTCTTAACTCTAGAAAAGAATTTAAAAGTGGAAAAGTTTAAGTATTAACTACTTATAACACTAATTAATAAAATGACATTACACTTTCCATGATGCCCATTATTTTGGTTCCATAGCATCTGTATACGAGTATTTATACATATGTTTGTATGTAAATGCACTTTCATACCTGTGTTTTGAATTAGAAGTGTCTTCCTAGACAGTTGATATAGCCTTTTTTCAATGTGGTGTACAGAATAGTTATCTGCTTGAATTAAAATAGCTATTATCTTTTTTACCATTAACATAGATTAGGCTCCTGTAGAGATGTTTTTGGTGATGGTTTGTATGAAATCAGTTTAGCGGACATCGATCAGCATTTCTAACAAAACTTGAAAAAAGCATAATAGAATTGAATAGGAAATAAAAATGTAGTATGTCTAGTAAAGATAAACATTGTTTCTTGAAATTGTGTGTGTGTGTGTGTGTGTGTGTGTGTGTGTGTGTGTGTGAGAGAGAGAGAGAGAGAGAGAGAGAGAGAGAGAGAAAGAGAGAGAGAGAGACACTGTTTCTATCTCTCTCCATTCATGTGTCTGTGTATGTGTCTCTGTGTGCCTGTGTGTGTGTGTGTGTGTTCTTTCTGTGTATGTCTGTGCCCCATGTGTATCTCTGGTGTCTCTGTGTATGTGTCTGTATTCCTGAGGCTTAATATAAAATGTATGTCAGTTTGAGGTTAGAAACATTGAGAAATGACGCAATGAACAGGGCTGTTTTAGTATGAACAATAGTGGCAAATGTAGTTATACTGGAAGTTTTAATTTTGGGAGACCTCTAGAATAGGTCTAGAAAAAACATCCAATTTATTATTGATTAAGTACTTTGAAGGTGATAATGCTGTCATTCATTTTAACCATATCATTTTTATTCACATTGCTTGGAAGCCTTCTCTTACTTTGAGCGGAATCCTACTTTCTAGTTATAGGCATTTATTAGGGGCAACCTTTCTTCTAGCTCTTCAAGATATTCGAGGGAGCCATCGTTTAGGTGTGGGGTGTAGTGTACAGGGTCCAGGTATAGTATATAGTATCTCCAATGAGTTTTCCTTTACCTGTGGGATGAAATCACTTCATTTGTTTTTCATGTGATGTACATTTGGCTTCTAAAACTTTACATTTAATCATGCTGCAGTTTGTCAGTGGCCTTCATGACACATGATATCTGAATGTCATTCTCATCATTTGATCTGCTCTTATTTTAGAGTAGGCACAGCAACTCTGGCTTGTAGGCCAAATCCAGTTTGCCTCTTATTGCTGTAAATAAAGTTTTAATGGGACCTAGCCACACCAGCACATAACATTTTATTTATGGCTGCATTCCTGTTGATTAGTTACTGCAGAGATTTTGTGACCTGAAAAACTATTTTGCTGTAATGAAAACAGATTGCTGCCCTTGTTCAAAGTGATGCTTCAGTGAATGCCTTATATTTACACTTGGCAGCTACATTCTATCTTGCCTCTCATTGAGCTCACAGTCTATTGGTTAATGGTGTTTTTCACATATGGTGCTCTTAGGAAAATAATTAAGATGTAATATAAGTATTTGTTGCCTCTTTTTCTCAGATTTCATAAAATCTTTTTTTTCTGGAAGAGGTTGGATTTTATTTTGTCTTTGAAAGTAGGAGTGTATACTCTAATCTGCTGTGGATTATATTATTCAGATATAGTATGTAATTTAAGATAAAAAATATGTTTTATGAAAAACTAGTTTCTGGAGATGATTTTGAATCAAATAAGTTTGGAAAACATTTTATATTATGTTACTTTCCTGAGCATTTATAGTGTTTGTTATTCTCCCCTCTGTGTGTGTATGTATGCAATGCATGTGTGCCTATGTGTTAATAACATCAACTAATATTTCTTTTTGCTGTAAGGGACACTGTGGGAAATACTGGGTTGAGAGATGTGGTAAAAGTATAAGGATCACCAGTCACTAGTGGAAGCCTAGGTAGTCTCTATGTAAGAAGTGTAGAAGTTAATATTGTCCATATTTTGATAATGTCTGAGATGATAAGGAAATTACTATTCTAAAAATTTATTTTTTTATATTAGTGGAAACATCAAAAGTAGATAATTGAAAAGGTGTGTGCTTGTTCCTTTAAATTATAAATCATAGCTCATTTAAGGCTTAGTCACATATTTTTGACTGTCTGATGGTGAAATTAATGGGGATATGGAAGTATTAGAAGCTGTTATGAATTAATGACCCCAAATTATTAAATAATTCAGTTTGTAGAATTAGGATAATAACTAGTAAAAACTTGACTTGCATTATAAAGTTGAAATTATACCTAGCCTTTTCAGGAATAAATTGTGAAATAAGAAATGTCTGTGTTAACATTTGTTTTCTAAACATTGTACAAATGGTAAAACTCTTTGGATTATTTTCCATTTTATTTATTTCTCTTTTCCCCCCCTTTTTCCTTTTCTGTCCAAAGTTACAATGTGATCTTGGGATACTATAGTACCTTACTTTGGAATGTTCTGTCTAAACCAAACATATCTCTTGGTCAGCTTTTCTTTTCCTTTTGCAAAGGTCATGGGGATGTCTAGGAGAACAGTTGATAAAGAATTTAAGTTGCAGAGAGAGCAGCTGTATCCTCATGTGCTGGAATACAGAAAGTATTTAGAGATACCCCAGGCTTTTCATATTAAAGTTTGATCTTTATCCAACTATCATCCAAGTGTTTGTTTTTTATGAGTTTAAATTGTCTTCTCTCCACAGAACCAAGTGACGGATACCAATAGAAAACTGCAACATGAGGGCAAGGAAGTAAGGCCAGTTTCCTTTTGACAAAGTTTTTCTGTTTTGTGCTGTTCTCTTTGGATGACTGTTCTTCACTTTGTGGCTTATAAGAATTTAAGCAGTGTGTTGGAATTATTACTTCTTGTAGTGTTTACCTGAATAAAACAGACACCTGAATAAATACAGACACCACAGGTCACAATGAAATAAGATGCAGCCCCCTTTCGCTGTCTTAAAAAAAAAAAAAAAGAAAATCCTTAATTAGTCCTCCATACCTGCTGCAATGTTCCTCCTCTATCTTCACCTGCCTCCACCCTTCTCTTATGTGTTTTTGTTTTGTTTTTTTTTGTTTTCCCCCAGCAAGGGTCTCATGTAACTAAAGCCTTCTTTGAACTGATCCCTCCATATAGATGTAACCAACCGTCTTATTAAATAAGAAACACAGAAACAATGCAAAAGAGAAAGCCGAGAGGTCAGAGCTCAGAGCTAAAATCTCACCCTTCCGCCTGCGGTGTCCCAGCTTCCCGAATCAGGGTTCTCTTTCCTGTCTGTTCGTCTATTTAAAGTATTTTGTTCTGCCTT